TATCTCAGATCCTCACCGGCTTGAAACCATTCAAGTGTGAGGTGTGCGAGAAATTAGTTAAGGATCTTTTCATAAGAAGCGGCTCCACTTTACATACGTTCATTTGAAGAAGCTGTGGCCGAAACGCTTGAGAAAGAAGTCTACGAAGTCGCTACAGGTCAATAGTGTTACGTACGGAGTCAGTAAAATTGTACATTAATAGGGATATGTATGTGTCCTTCCACCCACTCAGCAAGTATATAAAGACTTCGTCCAAAACTCGCTAAGCTTCTTCCGTGAGGGCCTTAATAATCGCAGATGTCGTCGGTCGAATTCTCGTAGTCACTCCCCGATGTAGCGTCAATGACCCTCCACCAGTATCTACACACGGACGGGAGTTTAATGCATACGCAATTTGAGTGACTCCAAGCTAACGTGTTAATGGGGGGGGGGGGGGGGAGGGTATCGTTCCGTTCACGCCACGTTTTAATGTTATTTAAAAACTACTACATCCAAGATAAAGGTATGATAGTCAAGCTAGCGCTCGCCGGCACCAATGAAATTGTTAATTGCAATTTTAAGTGCTGATCTACCAAGTGCGTCATAAACAATAAACATAAACAATTGTACGTCTAAGAAATTAAAAAAAAAAAACTTAATTTCTAAATGGATCGGAGTTTGGCACAAGTATTTAAATTGCTTTCCTATTCCTATGTGGAGCTGGAATAAAGTTTAATGAATAATAGCATAAAACTAAAAAGGAGAGCATATAAGCATGACATCAGAAACTCTGTTACTTTTGTTTTATATCAATCAGTCATGTAGGCTTCTTTTAAAAGCAACCGTGACAACAAAAACCATATCCGAAGCATTTTTGTGATACAATGCAGCTATATTATAGTTGTAGCACGAATGAATCAGCTCGACGGGGAAAGACCATACTCTTATAAATTACCAACGTGATTTTTTTTATTTGGTCTACAAAACAGAACACAATTTCAACATGCTGACAGGTATTAGGCCGTATACAGAAAGAAAGCCGGCAGCCGGCGCCGATCTACTAGCGCTAATCGGCGCTGGTCTATTCTGGTAACAGTTTCATAAAGCAAGTCGATTGAAGCAGAGCGAGCAAAACGTCGTACTCATCGGACGATGAATTAGTTTTGTTAGAAAATGTGTATTTTAAAATGCGAAAATAAGCTATACACCCTATTAAGAGAGAAAGGAAACGTTTCGGAGAATACCATCATTTATTTGTAAAACAATTGAAATTTGATGATCAAAAATTCTATAGATATACAAGAATGACTCAAGAAACATTTTATTACATTGAATAAAACTATTTTTACGGATTTTATCGCGTTTAATTAACTTATTTTATATTCCCGACGTTTCGGTTGCTTTCCAGCAACCGTGGTCACGGGGGACTGAGGTGATTGACGTCCCGATGTCAGTGTTAAACCGGAGTACCTTCAGCTTTTTTAATTAATAATTTTGGTCCGATCTACGCAGAATGAACTAACTGTGTCTTGAAGTCTTGCAGTGGTATGCTTGGGTTTAGTTTTAATTTTATGAATTACAGGATCCCAAGCAGGTGGTAGTACCCAGCCTCCCTCTCTATTGAAATTAGGATGTTTTTTAATTTCAATAGCCTCACGTATCATCCTTGGCAGGAATCGATGTTCTTTCGCGAGAATTTGTGGTTTATTAAGTCTAATGTAATGGCGGGGCCGTCTAGGATATGATCACAAACTGCAGACTTCCTGGAACGTTCGCTGTCAGCTTCGCGTCAGCTATGTGTTCTTTTGCGCGGGTTGAAAAAAAGCTGAAGGTACTCCGGTTTAACACTGACATCGGGACGTCAATCACCTCAGTCCCCCGTGACCACGGTTGCTGGAAAGCAACCGAAACGTCGGGAATATAAAATAAGTTAATTAAACGCGATAAAATCCGTAAAAATAGTTTTATTCAATGTGTAGTGTTCGCGTAAATATAAGAAATCATTATTTTATTACATTTTGGACTTAGTGGAAAAACATTTGATGAAAATTGGTGTAATTGGCATAAACAACCAATCCTTCCAGAAGAAAGACTAAGTACGAAAAAATATATTTATCGCTTAGTTATTAAAAGATAAAGTTATTAGATTTATAAAAAGGTTAGGTATAATAAAAAAAAATGTTTAAGAAAAGATGTTTATTTGTGCATTAGTAAATTTTTACAAAATATTCGCCTTAGAACTGTAAAGCTCTGTAATAAATAATAATTTAAAATGTTTAAACGTGGTTTAAATATACACTTGTACAGTCAACAACAGATCAAGCGTAACACTTTGAGATTTGTACCGACCTTATTGTTTCGTATTAAATATGCCAGCCATATATATATATAAATGCCAGCTTTCTTCTATTTTAAAAAGTATCTAAGTGTACCCTTGATATGCCGTCTTTCGTATAATCAACACGTCACTATACATTTCTCTATTTAACAAAAATATATGCGTGTCGTAGTTGTACGTGTTGTCGTATAGTTGTTCATTAATTATTTTAATTTAAATGGCGGGCGGTGCCATCGCTGACCGTGACGCGTGTCGAAGATTGTCGGAACTTGTCGGCGACGTTCGGCGCTTATCAGCGCCTTTTCATAGAAATGCCTGCGCCGGTTACCTGTGTGGACCGGTCCCTATAAGCGCTGATAGGCTGCCAGCTTTATTTCTGTATACGGCCTTATATAAAACAAAGATTTGACAAATTATATTCTAATATACAGGATTATTGTGGAATAACCGGCCAAATTTGCAGAGAAGGTTCGGAATAAGTAATTTAGGCAAATGGCGAAGAAAAAATAAAACAAATATTCTGATCCTTATCTTTTAAATTCAAAATGCATGTTAATGTATTATTTTAACTGATTTTACTGCGTACACATTAGTAATGGTTGAACGGTAGGCAGAAACGTTGTTGCCCAAAAATCACATTCAGTTTGGGATAATTTAAAATAAAAGTAGAAGCATTATTTACTCGTATTTTCAAAAACTGCAATAACGGTATATCTTTATTTATATATATTTGACCTTAATTTTGAAATTTGGCTACTCTTTGAAAAATAACCCTGTATAAGACAGAGATTGCACAATAACTTGCTTGGATGAAGACATGCGGTATAATATCTTGGTAGAGAGTAATTGTATTCTGTGGGTATAATGGTGAATGTGGTCCGAGAAGCGTTGTACAAAGTGGATGATATTACTCAATTTATACAAAAAAATTATGTGCACGACGCAAACATAGTAATACCTCGAACGAAATGACTTACGGATTGCTTGTGGTAACCATCGCTAGTTGAACAACCTAGGGGCGGTGGGCGGAGCCATGAGAATGTTATTATCGTCGGGGCGCGCTCACGGTTCCACAACTAGCGGTGGTTGCCCACAGCAACGCGGGAAAAGCCGTAGCAATAATATTAAGAAATATAGCTTTTATTGTTTAACAAATAATATTGTAACTATGTAATAACTCTCGCAATAAAGGCACCGAACAACTGGCGAGAGTTAACATAAATTTAGAATATAGAAATTAATTAATGCCAAATTGTAGAATAAGTATTATATGTAAAATGTATTCCTTTGTATAGTGCAATTTAATTCCTTATGTATTAAGCCTTTAGGCACGATAAATAATAAACAGGGCATGTTACCGTGACGCGGCCGGGGAGCGAATGAGGCTACGCGCGCCGCGCCACGACGTTTTATATTTATAGTACTGAGGCGGGGGGCAGGGTCCTTAGCTCAAAATTACTGGAATAACAATTTAACCTTTACTATGTAGAAAAATTGTTATATAAGTATTAGTTTAATAAGTAATTGTAAGAAAGTAATATATTTAAGTCTGTACATTAGTTTATAAGAAATTTACCTAATAAAGGAAGGCGCGGGGGTGAGGCAAGGGTCCGCTGGCCAGCAACGGCCAAATAGTATATAAGACGGGCCGGTCGGAACGGTCGGCATTCCGCCTGTGGCACCGCTCTCGAGCGGTCGTGTCCAGGTAGTCCGCGCATCTGTCCCCGTACGGTAGTACTCTCTCGCTCTCGCGCCTCCGCTGTCCTGCTCGCGCTTACAGCGTCGACGCCTTGGTGAGTCATTTTACGCTAACTCCAGTTATTACCTCCCTGTCTCCGGGCGGGGCGGTTTGACTGTTGGTCTTGCTTGTTATTGTTATTTTTATTGTTAATTCTTTTGTTAACTATTTCTAATTTTGTTTTCGTTATTTATTTGTATAACGTGTACGTGTATATACTGTTTCTAGGGAGTTACTTGCTCTTTTCAGAGCAAGGCCCTGCTCTTTTGAGAGCAGGGGCACTTACTCCTAGAATTAAGAACGTCCCGTTCTTCTCAGAACGGTGATCCCGCCCTTACTGTTTAGGTACATAACGTCTCTGTTCTTTTCAGAACAGCACCCACTAGCCCCTTCCGTATCAAATACGTTTCGTAAAACTACTGCCCTCAACATGTCCACAATTACCCAAATTAAGTCCCTCGTCGCCGCCCTAAACCAAACTCTTGGTCTGGGCCTAAACCTCGATGAGACGGCCCTTGCCGCCATCGCCGCCCATGTTACTCCCCCTGCCCGTCAGGCACTCCTGTCTAGTAACGAAATCAATGACGCACTAGAAGTTTGCATTAAGCATTGTCAAGCCACATATCTCGCAGACCACAAGGACAAACTGAAACCATTGAGCCCTTTTGTGGATAGCAAGGGAATAATGAGGGTAGGAGGAAGGATCCAACACTCGAGTCTCTCCGAAGATATTAAACACCACATTATACTTCCACACCGAAGTCACTTCACGGACTTAGTCGTTGACGAAGCTCACAAAAGAAACATGCATGGCGGTCCAACTCTTATGCTGAACTATTTGCGCACAAAATACTGTATACTCTTAGCAAAGAGTGCTGTCAAAGGATATGTGCGCAAATGTGTTACTTGTGTCCGTCAGCAGCAGCTGCAATAAAAACCCAATTCATGGGCCAATCGCCAGCATGCAGGGTTACGCCAGCAAGACCATTTCTACGCAGCGGAGTGGATTTTGCTGGACCCATCAATATTCGAGTATCTAAGGGACGTGGCAACAAATCGTACAAGGGCTTCATAGGCCTCTTCATCTGCATAGTTACAAAGGCTATTCATTTAGAGGTTGTCAGCGATCTCACAGCCGAGAGCTTCATAGCTGCGTTTAAGAGGCTTGTTGCCGATGAGGTCACGTAAGTGAAATTTGGAGTGACAATGGGACCAATTTCGTCGGAGCCTCCAAAGAACTTTGTAAGCTTGTCACCGCTGAACAGTCGTCCGTCGCCGTGGAAATCAAAGAGTGGTTGAGTAACCAGAGTACTCAATGGCATTTTATCCCCCCACATGCACCAAATTTCGGAGGTTTATGGGAAGCCGGAATAAAATCGACTAAATTACATTTAAAACGAGTTGTAGGCAATTCCACTCTCACGTTTGAAGAATTAGCAACAGTTTTATGTCAAATAGAGGCGTGCCTTAACTCAAGGCCTCTATCAATGCTCTCTTCTGATCACAGGGACTCTGCACCCTTAACACCTGCACATTTATTAGTTGGTGAGCCCTTAGTTGTAGTACCGGAACGTAATTACGAGCATAGCAACGTTAGTACATTGAGAAGGTGGAATTTGAAGTAAAGAATGGTGCAAGATTTTTGGCGAAGATGGTCGTCGGAATACCTTGTGCATTGCCTTCAAAGATACAAGTGGTCAAATATTAACCCGGAACCCTTGCTCGAGTTGTCACACTTGAATGCAATGGGTCTCAAATAAAGAGACCAACGTCTAAAATTTGTGTTTTACCAGTAACAAACTGATATTGTCTGTCTGTAAGTATTGTATATTTTGATTGACCCTAATATTCTTAACCTATTACTTTTTATATACTTTATCTTTTATCCTATATTTTGAATATTGTATGTACCACCTTGACCTCACGGTGGGCGGTAATAGAAAGAACGCAGATACGTTCTTGGTTGACGGGATGTTGAACCAAAAATCATAGTGTAATTTATTATTTGTCAAAATGTTTTCACCCGCCGTCTCTAGATGGCGCTAGTAGTAAGTTACAGCGCGCTAGCATAGTATTATTGTAATTTAACGTAAGGTCCACTTTAATTTAATAAATTTGACTTTCTCACTATTGTACTTCCATGTTTTATTTAACTAACGCGAGTGCAAGTAACGAGATCTGGAAGGAACCTGTTCAAGCTATGTGGGAAAATATGAACAATTTGCGTAAACGTGTTCTATATAAATAGGTGTGTACCAGATGAAAATCCAGTATTTGCGAATTTGTGATGTAATTATATAACGAGTAGAAAAACCTTTCCGTGCTCATGTGCACATTGAAACTGCATTTGTTCTGAAGAAGTTAATTCAATACCTAATTTAAAATATTGTACAACCGAATTAAATATAAATTATTAAGAATAATTCAAAAACTGTTGGTCAGACCCTGATCAAATTTATATTGGGATTACATGTGAAGCACCAGCTTTCAAATAAAAAAAGAATCGTCTACATCGGTTCATGCAGAAAAAAGCTATGAGGTAATAAGCATATAAAAGAACATACAGTCGAATTGAGTATCTCCTACTTTTTGAAGTCAGTAGAAAGCAAAAAATATTGGAACCTTAAAATAAATACCGTATGTGTGAATGGAAGTTAGTGGAAACAGACTAGACCTTCATGTTTTTTTTTTGAAATTTAAATGACAGCTTCGACGTTTTTCTTTTTTCGCTTTGCCCTTTATCGTTACCGTTACAGCCTTTAAAACTACTCTGTTGAACATAGGCGTCCCCCGTGGCTTGCGTCATATTTGCCATAGTTGCCATGCCACCTGCATCATTAGAAACGATAGAAACGAGTCATTCCTTCTCAGTCCTCATGGTGACAACGCAATAAGGATTCTTAATAGATGTCCATGGGCCACAGCTGCACAGCATTCACTTACCATCAGGTGGACCGTGTGCTCGTATGTCCCCCTTATTCTATTTAACAAATCAACGACTATCTCAGATCCTCACCGGCTTGAAACCATTCAAGTGTGAGGTGTGCGAGAAATTAGTTAAGGATCTTTTCATAAGAAGCGGCTCCACTTTACATACGTTCATTTGAAGAAGCTGTGGCCGAAACGCTTGAGAAAGAAGTCTACGAAGTCGCTACAGGTCAATAGTGTTACGTACGGAGTCAGTAAAATTGTACATTAATAGGGATATGTATGTGTCCTTCCACCCACTCAGCAAGTATATAAAGACGTCGTCCAAAACTCGCTAAGCTTCTTCCGTGAGGGCCTTAATAATCGCAGATGTCGTCGGTCGAATTCTCGTAGTCACTCCCCGATGTAGCGTCAATGACCCTCCACCAGTATCTACACACGGACGGGAGTTTAATGCATACGCAATTTGAGTGACTCCAAGCTAACGTGTTAATGGGGGGGGGGGGAGGGTATCGTTCCGTTCACGCCACGTTTTAATGTTATTTAAAAACTACTACATCCAAGATAAAGGTATGATAGTCAAGCTAGCGCTCGCCGGCACCAATGAAATTGTTAATTGCAATTTTAAGTGCTGATCTACCAAGTGCGTCATAAACAATAAACATAAACAATTGTACGTCTAAGAAATTAAAAAAAAAAAACTTAATTTCTAAATGGATCGGAGTTTGGCACAAGTATTTAAATTGCTTTCCTATTCCTATGTGGAGCTGGAATAAAGTTTAATGAATAATAGCATAAAACTAAAAAGGAGAGCATATAAGCATGACATCAGAAACTCTGTTACTTTTGTTTTATATCAATCAGTCATGTAGGCTTCTTTTAAAAGCAACCGTGACAACAAAAACCATATCCGAAGCATTTTTGTGATACAATGCAGCTATATTATAGTTGTAGCACGAATGAATCAGCTCGACGGGGAAAGACCATACTCTTATAAATTACCAACGTGATTTTTTTTATTTGGTCTACAAAACAGAACACAATTTCAACATGCTGACAGGTATTAGGCCGTATACAGAAAGAAAGCCGGCAGCCGGCGCCGATCTACTAGCGCTAATCGGCGCTGGTCTATTCTGGTAACAGTTTCATAAAGCAAGTCGATTGAAGCAGAGCGAGCAAAACGTCGTACTCATCGGACGATGAATTAGTTTTGTTAGAAAATGTGTATTTTAAAATGCGAAAATAAGCTATACACCCTATTAAGAGAGAAAGGAAACGTTTCGGAGAATACCATCATTTATTTGTAAAACAATTGAAATTTGATGATCAAAAATTCTATAGATATACAAGAATGACTCAAGAAACATTTTATTACATTGAATAAAACTATTTTTACGGATTTTATCGCGTTTAATTAACTTATTTTATATTCCCGACGTTTCGGTTGCTTTCCAGCAACCGTGGTCACGGGGGACTGAGGTGATTGACGTCCCGATGTCAGTGTTAAACCGGAGTACCTTCAGCTTTTTTAATTAATAATTTTGGTCCGATCTACGCAGAATGAACTAACTGTGTCTTGAAGTCTTGCAGTGGTATGCTTGGGTTTAGTTTTAATTTTATGAATTACAGGATCCCAAGCAGGTGGTAGTACCCAGCCTCCCTCTCTATTGAAATTAGGATGTTTTTTAATTTCAATAGCCTCACGTATCATCCTTGGCAGGAATCGATGTTCTTTCGCGAGAATTTGTGGTTTATTAAGTCTAATGTAATGGCGGGGCCGTCTAGGATATGATCACAAACTGCAGACTTCCTGGAACGTTCGCTGTCAGCTTCGCGTCAGCTATGTGTTCTTTTGCGCGGGTTGAAAAAAAGCTGAAGGTACTCCGGTTTAACACTGACATCGGGACGTCAATCACCTCAGTCCCCCGTGACCACGGTTGCTGGAAAGCAACCGAAACGTCGGGAATATAAAATAAGTTAATTAAACGCGATAAAATCCGTAAAAATAGTTTTATTCAATGTGTAGTGTTCGCGTAAATATAAGAAATCATTATTTTATTACATTTTGGACTTAGTGGAAAAACATTTGATGAAAATTGGTGTAATTGGCATAAACAACCAATCCTTCCAGAAGAAAGACTAAGTACGAAAAAATATATTTATCGCTTAGTTATTAAAAGATAAAGTTATTAGATTTATAAAAAGGTTATAATAAAAAAAAATGTTTAAGAAAAGATGTTTATTTGTGCATTAGTAAATTTTTACAAAATATTCGCCTTAGAACTGTAAAGCTCTGTAATAAATAATAATTTAAAATGTTTAAACGTGGTTTAAATATACACTTGTACAGTCAACAACAGATCAAGCGTAACACTTTGAGATTTGTACCGACCTTATTGTTTCGTATTAAATATGCCAGCCATATATATATATAAATGCCAGCTTTCTTCTATTTTAAAAAGTATCTAAGTGTACCCTTGATATGCCGTCTTTCGTATAATCAACACGTCACTATACATTTCTCTATTTAACAAAAATATATGCGTGTCGTAGTTGTACGTGTTGTCGTATAGTTGTTCATTAATTATTTTAATTTAAATGGCGGGCGGTGCCATCGCTGACCGTGACGCGTGTCGAAGATTGTCGGAACTTGTCGGCGACGTTCGGCGCTTATCAGCGCCTTTTCATAGAAATGCCTGCGCCGGTTACCTGTGTGGACCGGTCCCTATAAGCGCTGATAGGCTGCCAGCTTTATTTCTGTATACGGCCTTATATAAAACAAAGATTTGACAAATTATATTCTAATATACAGGATTATTGTGGAATAACCGGCCAAATTTGCAGAGAAGGTTCGGAATAAGTAATTTAGGCAAATGGCGAAGAAAAAATAAAACAAATATTCTGATCCTTATCTTTTAAATTCAAAATGCATGTTAATGTATTATTTTAACTGATTTTACTGCGTACACATTAGTAATGGTTGAACGGTAGGCAGAAACGTTGTTGCCCAAAAATCACATTCAGTTTGGGATAATTTAAAATAAAAGTAGAAGCATTATTTACTCGTATTTTCAAAAACTGCAATAACGGTATATCTTTATTTATATATATTTGACCTTAATTTTGAAATTTGGCTACTCTTTGAAAAATAACCCTGTATAAGACAGAGATTGCACAATAACTTGCTTGGATGAAGACATGCGGTATAATATCTTGGTAGAGAGTAATTGTATTCTGTGGGTATAATGGTGAATGTGGTC